TGTACAACTGCACGCCCTGCCTAAACTCCTCGTCTTCTTCGATATCCCGCAAGAACTGCTCGAATTCACGATCCTGTCGCTCTTGATCGGCCTTGCGCGGTAGTAGCTCACCCTCGTCCTTGGCCATGCGGCGGACCTTCCAGACGCGCTTGCGGTTGCGCCGGCGGTTCGGGTAGTGTTTCTTGACGACGACCACGTCAGGGATGCGCGACGCGTATACGTTCGATTCCTCGAGCGCCTCTAGCTGCGGGTTGTTGAAGTTGGTTCCGGTGAGCATGTACCCGAGGACCGAGTCGCCGGCGTGTAGGAGCCCGCCGAGATGTGTGCGCGCGAAGTACGTCTTGTCGTTGACGCCAAGATCCGAGGCCCGCGCCAGCTGCGTCTCGGCGAGGATCCATTTCCCGCGCGTCGGCCCGATCGGTTCGCAGTCCATCACGATGAACTCGACTAGATCCTGAGCGTCTGCTAGCGCGGGGAAGGGGGTGCGCCAGAACACGGGCGCGCTGATCTCGGCGGTTTGGAGGGTGTTAGGGTCGAGCAAGTTGATGGAGGTGCCGATGCGGTGACATATGGCTAGCGGGGAGATGTTGCCGATCTGCTTGGCGAGGGGGATAGGTAACGCAACAAGGTCATCTTTGCAGATGGGTATTAACTCGACGGAGAAGGTGAATTTGTATGATTTCTTCGCAGTGTGAGAATCTTGTGAGATGAGCTCCTGAGATTTCTTGACTCGGACGGGTACGACGGAGTTTAAGAAGTCGACAAACTTCTCGGCTTGATTTCTTGCCGCGAAGAAGAAATCGATGCCGTCTCTGGCTTCTTTGATGTTGATAGTTTCACGGTGGGCGCCGTGCTTTAAGACAAGCTGCTCGAGGTAGAGGAATGTTCGTTTATGTAGCACCTTCTGGCGCACTTGTACGCTCGCTCTCCATACGTTGGCCGTATATGACTTGGCGCACTCTGGGCACTGCTGATATGCGACAACGTACACCACCTCTAAGGCCTGCTGCATAACTCGGTCATCTGCTACGGCAGCTTGAACTACAAGCTTCACCCTTACTCGTCTCGAGTGCGGTTCTGTCCATATGAAGCTGGCATCGATTATCCTCGTTCGGTTAAGACTTAGCTTCTTTAGACAGAGGGCTAGAAGTTCGCGGGATTCGGGTGGAGCTGTTACCCAGCTGGACGGTGGTTGAAGCCATCGATCGCAGTCTCGGCAGAAATGAAGGGTGGCTTCGCGCTGGATGCCTTGTGAGATATCCTTTGTGAGTTTGAAGCAGTCGTAACATTTGGCGTCGATAGCCGTTGTACCGTCTATAGGAGCACCGCAGTCGCAACAGAAGATGGTGGCAGTAATTGGAGCATTATCTAATCCTTGCTGCGGCGCTATAGAAATAGGAACGTCTATATCTATATCCATCGACATCTTGGCGATTTATTTCGTTGGATGTCTATGGTGATGTATAGATGTATAGATGTGTAGATGTTGATGGTTGATGATATTGGTAACTTTTGAGTGATGGTGGGGGTTTTGGATAAGGAAAAATGTGGTTTAAACATGTATTGCCCCTCGATTGATAAGCAGGGACTTGTGGGTTATCATATCGCCACTAGTAAGAGTATTATACTTTTAAACGGTAAATAGTAATCGGAATATACAACAAAGCGATATATCGTAATGAACATCATTATGATTTATAAAATTCATTGCGCTTCGTCTACTCTTTTTAATCTACCAAGTACAAGATATTTTCAACTATCGACCCTCGTAAAGGGAGTCGACTTCAACGTCTCTCCCCCTTTGCATAACTAACTCGTCTATACTCGGAGTAATGTCGACGAAACCTGGCCTAGCACCATTCCGGAATTTGGTTTTTGTTTCCGCAGCCGCTTTACTCATCTCCGAGAGGTCCATTACAGGTCTACTTGGATCTTCTTGATACGCTCGCTGTCCGAACCCATAGTACAATAACGGCAGTAAGGATGATTTCCACACCGGCTGTTTCTGGTCGCGTAGGTTTTGCGTTATCATAGCAATTAAGACCGCAGCCGTGGCGGCGACTAGGATCGTCGGCATCAGGAGCCACTGCCACTGGAACTGAGTGCACACCGTCATCTCGTTAACCAGCCCTGTTACCGTCTTTTGGGTCCCCCAATCATAGATATCCGAACCTGTCGTACGGAACTTATTGGTAACGGCCGTGGAGAACTGGTCGAAAGCCATGCTTAGCGACTCGAAGCTTGCCTCTTTGTTTCTATAGAAGCTGGAAAGCCACCACTTCGAATCGCACGATACGGATTGACCCTGTCGGCTGTTGTACGTGCATATGCCCGCAAACAAGTCTTGGCCCGTGAACTTGTTTAGAGCAGACCAGTATGGATAACTCATCTTGTACATGCAGTCGTCTGGTGCAGTATAGTTTGTCCCGTCGATGTTGATACCCGTGAATACCCTCCCTTCCTTTTCAGGAACGGTCGAGAAATTGGATAGATCATACGACTGACCATCAATGAAGCACGGACTCTGAAGCGCGGTCCAATTCATGGTGGGATGAATCTCATATTGAGTTATATTCGCCTCTACCCGGTTAATGCGCGCGGGCTTCGTCGAGACGATCTTCTCCGATAGCACACCTTTCATCATGGTGGCATCGTAATTCTTCAGACACGGGTAGATAGTGCACGAGGTTGCCACGATACCTGTCGGTCCGCTATACCCATGAGCAACGGGGCAATCGAGTTTGTCCCCGTCTTTCGAACAGGTCGCTTTTGTGAGCGCTAAGACGGTCACGTTAAGTAAACTTTCAAGACACACTGACTCGAATTCGGGGGTGAAGAGGGATGATGCCCATTGGAGCAAGCCATTGTCCACGTTCAGATATGCTTGGTCTGTATCCGGGCTCACCCACATATCGGTGGTAGGTAGAGTATAATTATCGTACCCGCCAGTCTTGTTGGTTGCTATTCTCTTAACTAACGGAGTGGTATCGATACATGAGCTACATAAGCCTATAGAAGCGTGCGTAATACCGTTGTGGCTTGTGAAGGTGCAATTTCCGGTAGGGCAGGTCGGTACAATAGCGGTGTCATTGCCCATTGGGTTGACGATCCCATTGACTAACGCTCCCTTCGTGTCGATTGACAATTCCCAACGTCCGGGCGCAGTTCTATAATAGGTTTCGTTCCCAGGAAGGTACTGGGCCACAGGTAATGACGCGTTCACTTCGGTATGTGTTCGAAGACATGCGACAGACTTGACGGTTTGCTGGGTGAATGGGCCTATCCCGAGAGATAAGATGGTAATGAGGGCGCCGATCATGCCTAGCATACTTCCGGGCGCGACAAATAGTAAACTCAAAGAACCGAATATAGAGCGGCTTGCTTCGTCAAAATATTGTAGGTGGCTCAGCGGTCGCGGTCGAGAGAACCAGGTCCATTTGGTCTGGCTGATGACTTCGGCGACGCCTACAAGCATTGCTGCTCGCATAACGGTAGAGATCAAGGCGATCAGAGTATTCAGATTAATACTAAACGGCCACTCCGGTACCTCATGCCCGTCGAAGTGGGATAGGATCGAGTAAGTAGCCGCTATCGAACCGATTGCAACGAAGATCGATCCAATCTCCCAAGGCCAAAATCGGAAAACATGATGTTGACGGGTGTTTGTAACTTCTGATGGTAAGTAGTGCTCAGACAACTCCTCCCTCTCTCTGTCAGTACCGGGAGGATACGCGCCCATGTCTATCCCCCCGTGGGAGCTGAACTTAGGTGTGGATGGCCGCTCTCCAAGAGACTCATATTTACGGCGTGAAGTCCTGTCGTTTGCCATTTCGAGATCGCCGTCGATGAGGTCTGGAGTGTGTTGTTGCAGCTAACCTTTGGGTATTGTTTACCGGTCCTGTCTAGCGGTGTTTAATGCAGCACATCTTGAGCAAACAAATACGCGAGGTAAATTGAGATTCGTGATGATTTGGACGTCGAATTCGCGATGACCCCAACCCATGTATTAAACTGTGTATAAGCAAGCATCTACGGTATCTACATAGACAGATGGACTCGGCAGCTGGCCAGGGGCAAACCCCATGGAGACCCGCCGAGCTAGACATCTTCACGGTATAGTATCCCGCTAGTCTTTGATAAATAACCAATCATCTACCCTATCCCCTCTACCCCTTCTCTTCAGCCCTATGCATTGGGCATCCAGCATCAAGTCTTCATTACGCCTAAAGATCTGAATGGTAAGGATAAGCTGTGCCGCTCTCGATCGCTAGCTATGTAAATGTAAGCGCTTGGCTATTCTGAGGCAACGGGTCCTCGATTTGTTTTGTACTTGTATTTTATTTATTTTTCCTTGTTACCCCTTCCATCATGCCCATCGCCTCATTTTACTAAGATATAAGGGGTCTATAAATAGGAAGTATTTACCAAAAGGCTTAAGCAGTAAGTAATAAATAGACGAAGTAAGTATTAAAGGTCTAGATCTAAGCAAGACAAGAAAAGAAAAAGAATAACTTTGCCGCGGAGAGCCTCATTGGTAAGATTGGCCAACGAAACTTGTACATCATGTACCCAAATCTACTACCTGCCATCTTGTTTGTTTGTCCTCGCACAACTCTAGGAAGCACGAGATGGCAATATATCCGGTGCCACCGCATCTCGAGTTCGATCGCCCCAACGGCAAGAAGCCGTTGCGTCTGAACTACCTGGCAAGTCGAGTTATTTACTCCCGTGCGCCGTCTCACAAAATCTAGCATGAGCGAGGCAGCTCATTCTATCAAAATAACATTGGTATATATATAAAGTACGAGACACGGCATACACTAGGTACCTAAACTCGCCGAGAAGCCAGTTCTGCAGTTTCATGTATTCATGCTACGTACGCCAATGTAACCTTTTTCTCTCGAACGCCGCCTCCGTTAAGCCGCCGATGCCGGGAATCAATAAATCAGCCAGTGAATTAATGTCCGTCGCCCTCCCAAACCTGACTCCCAAATGGATGGATGGGTGAAATGCTTATAAGAAAAATAAAAAGCAAAGTCTAATGCAGCAAGCACGCTTGGTATCCTACACGCCAAGCCCCATGTACTATGTTGCCGTGTTCTGTGTTCGTGAATTCGTTCGTCGGGTGACCGCCTATTATGTAAAGTGTCGAGGAAGCTAGGAGATCCGCGGATACAGCCAAACCTGTTATCCGTTTCCTCCATTTCCAAAAATGGTCTAGAGAAGAGATCCCTCAGCCAGCTTTAAATGAGGTTTTCGATGGGTGATATAGGGGTGCTTGGAGTCACCTGGCAGTTATTAGTCACAATAATTCTCTATAGGCACATCGGGACCGAGCGACTCAAACTCACCTTCAGCACAGGCGTAACGGGACGTAGCGAAGAAGGCGGAGCCGGGGCCTTGCGCGGAGTGCCGAAGGACGACGAGTTAGCGGCTCCAAAGCGGGATGCGGCTGCTTGCTCCTTCAGAATCGCGATCCTATATCACCAAAAATACATTAGCCAAGATTGTAGATACCCGAAAGGATTACGGCGAAGTAAGAGGCACCAGCAGCTGATTGGGCATAATACGAGCGACGGAGAGTAAAATAGGAGAAAGGAGGAAGCGCTTACTCATCTTCCGACACACCCGGCAACGAGAGCGTCTCGTGCTTGAAGTTGAACGGTGCTGACTGTAAGAAATGACATGTTAGCGATGATGGACAGGTGAGTATACCTATTGTTAGGTATGAGGCATATCGGATATCTAGAAGAGGCAATCCACGATGTATATACAATAGGTGAGAATAACAAAGAACAGACTTACAATCTGCAGCGCCGGCTTCTCGGAAACAGGCTTAGAGGACTTGACGCCGATGAGTTTCTGCAATCTTGCCGTAAAGGCGCGGAAACCTCCAATGCAGCTCGTCATTTTGACTCGTAGTACCGGTTGGACTGAGAATTTTTTATTTTCGGGGAGCAAAATAAACAAGGCAGAGCAAGATGAGACGGAACAAAAACGTATGTGCAACGGGACGACGAGCGAAAGAAAGTTGGCAGTTGGCCTTGCACAAAGGAGTCGGATGTAAGAAATTGTTGGCAGCAAGCGACAAGCTGAATACCAAGTGGACGCAAAAGACAATTTAACGAGGATACGAGGATACGAGATCTGTGCCTGGAAACGACGTTAGGCCCCAGTGTCGTAGTAACGGATCCCCGAGTATAATCGAGGTATTCGGGTGCCAAAAAAAGAGGATATTCGATTCGATGCGATGCGATGCGATGCGATGTGGCAGCAGAAGTAGAGTAGAGTTATGATTGATCCAAAGTTGTCCCCCCCAATGCGATATATGCGCGGACACTAGAGCCGGAGTTGCAGATACGAAACAAAACGAAACGTATGTACGATGTATGTACGCAGAAGCGTATGAGAGTCATATAAGAGTAGATGTATCAATATGTAGGTATACCAGGTCAGGCACCTAACTCTTTCGAGGCAGCCGATGATTGATCAACAATCATGCAAGCAAGACAAGACAAGACAAGACAAGAGCAAGAGCAAGAAAACCAAACGGTAGTAGTAGTTTCAAAGGGACGACAAAAAAAAAGGGCGAAACCCCTTTGCTGAAAAGGAATAAGAGTGTCGGGCTACGGTTAGCCTTATCTTTTGAATGCCTGCCCTATACGGATGTTGTGTAAGTGTAGGATGAGATGAATGGGGCGGCGAAGGATGATGGTGATGATGATGACGATGACGATAACAGCGAAACAATAACAACAATCGCCTATGTAGGGCCGCGGACAAGTCTTCTTTTTCGTTTATGAGCGAAGCTGAAGATCAAATAAAACTTGGTGGGCTCGGTGGCTGTAAGTAAGTCTGACAGATCGACGGGAGCGGGGGAAGCGAGAGCTGAAAAGAAACAGGCTGCAAGCTAAACCCTACAAGCGCAGGGTCCTCACGAAAAAAGGATTATAAAGAGTTAAAAGAGTGTGTTATGCCAGCTACGGTTTAGCTGAACAGGCTGAGCAGTAGGCCAAGGGTTGGATGGTTGGCTGGTTGGTTGGTTGGTTGGTTGGTGATGGCGAATCCGAGTCTAGCTCTTAAAGATGGAGAGGCCGAGTCTTGGTCTTATCAAGCAGGGCGCAATAGTAATAATAATAATGACAATAATAATAATAAGATGGATTTTAAACGAAAGAGAAATACGAAGTAGATATCACAAAGAAACGAATGTGTATGTATGTGTGCTGCGTATTGCAGGTAACTCGGTTTTAAAGACAAGGAGAGACGACGGCGACAACGAAAGACATGAGAATTCAATACACGAAGAGCCAGTCAGTCGGTGTAATGTTAAAGTGTGTAGCGTATGTAAGTAGAAAATATAATATGTGGAAGCAATAGCATAGGTAATAGTCGGTATCGTCGGTCAAATTAAAAGTTGGCACGCCCCGGGAATGCGGAATGAATGTAGAAATGTGGAATGTGGCAATTCTCTAGCGACAAGGGGTCAAAACAAGGGGTCCTCAATTAAAGCCCAAGCTAAAGGATCCTGAAACAAATGTCAGATTAGTCATCGAGTCAGGTGATTTAGCAAGTCTGTACCAATTACGTCACCACAGTTGCATTAGTTACATCGACTAGCAGCCAATAATATGTATATTGTCTCGAATATACCTAAAGTCTGTATAACCTCTTTTCGGAGGCAAGGTCACAACATTTACCAACTATTTTATATATATCGTGAGATGAGGACAAACTAAGCAATTCTCGCCTTATCCTTGAAGGATATTCTATCTGAATATAATGTTTTCTTTGAATAAAATCCATTATTATGTAATGATAGTAACCAAGCCTGCAGGTTCCCGTTGTTGATGCCGTAATGTAGGGTCACGACTCTCTCGCCAGCATTCACGTATAATATAGCTTTCAACCTGCCTGTTTGTAGGTAAACACTGAAAATTCTTTTGACGAGGAGTAATATCTAGCAATCTGCGAAACAACACAAAGTCTTATGCTTAGTTACTTATACTCTTCCCCCTGTATTTACATTTACTTAATAGCTACCATGAACTCTCAAGCTTGCCAACAAGAACCGCCTCCTAATATTTGTTTGGCATCCAATACGGTGGGAAAACGACGTAGGAACTCGCCCGAAGCCAATCGCCCTTGTATGAAAAAGGCCAAATTATTCTCTCCCTCAGAATCATCTTCCAAGTTTGTTCAAGTAAGCTCGGAAACGGAGTCCCAACCGGCGGAGAATCCAAGCTCGTCTTTCGAGACGATCCCGAAATAACAGCTTGGCTTGAAATTGACGACCCGACCTAAGTACCTGTCAGTATGTGTAACAAGGGCTGTAAAGGGCTTGGAATATAATTAGGATTATTAATAATTTTTTAAGGTCTTAAGGTTTTTAGTTCTCCCTTTTTTTCTAAAAGGAGATTTTAATTTATTTATAAATAATTTAAAATATATATTTTTTGGTTTAGTTAAATCTTTATTAATATATTGGTTTTACTTGTATATAATTATATAATTTTATAATATTTTTTATTTAATAAATTTTAAAATAATTATTTTATATTTTTTATTAATTGTTTTTTTTAATTAATAGTTTTTTAGCATTATTGTTTATATAATATCATTTTTTCTTTTTTTAAATTTATTTTTAAGTTAAAGTTTTAAATAAAAAATATGATTTTTTTTGGTAAAGTTTAAAGGTTTATTAACTTTTTTAAATTTTATTAATAAAATATTAAAATTATTTATTTAACGTTTTTATTATTAAAGTAATTAAAAGGTTTTTAAGTTTAATATTTTTTGGTTAATTAATTTTTTTATTTAATTAAATATTTTATATTTTTTTAAATTTATATAAAGTTTTTAATTTTATTTATGTAATATTTTTTAAATTTTATTAAGGTTATTTTTTATAAAATTTAATTAAAATTAAATAATATTTAATTATTAATATAATAAAGTTTAATAAATGAGGTATAAAATAAATTATGGATTTTTTACTTTTTAAGTAAATGAAATTTAATAATAATAAAAAAGATTATTTTTTAAATTTTAAAAAGGTTTAATATTTTTTTATTTAATTTTTTAATGGATTGTTTAATTTTAATATTTTTATTATTTAATATAATTAATTAACCTTTTTTAAATTTTAGTATTTTTTTTTTTTTTATTAATTTAATCTTTTATATGTTAATAATTTTTTTTTAAATGTTATTATATTTTGGTATAAATTTATTTTATTTAATATGTATATA